CGGAGGTCGGCCAGATGATACGTATGAAGCTTGGACTTCAAAATCATATCATCTATGTATGCCTCGACATTCCTTCCTATTTGATCAAAGAAGACCGTGTTTATCATTCTTTGGAAGGTGGCCGGGGCGTTCTTCAAACCAAACGGCATGACAGTATAACAATACAACCCTTGATCAGTGACAAAGGCCGTCTTCTCCTGATCCTTCTTCCATAAAGGGATATGATGAAAGCCAGAGTAGGCGTCCATGACGCTCATTAAGGCATGGCCGGCTGTTGAGTCGACCAGACTGTCGATCTTAGGCAATGGATAACTATCTTTGGGGCACGCCTTATTTAAATCAGTGTAGTCCACACACATTTTCCAAGTACCATTCGGCTTCTTTACTAGTACAACGTTGGCAACCCTGTCAGGGAAATAACATTGCCGAATGAACCCGGCATCAAGCAACTTTTTAACCTCGGTGGCAGGTGCCTGACTTCTTTCTTCACCATGGTTCCGTTTCTTTTGCCAGCTGGCTTCTTTTTCGGATCCACATCTAGTATATGCACTGCCAAGTCTGGACTGATACCTGGCATCTCATGTACCTCGAATGCAAAGATATCCTTGAATTCCTTCAAGAGTTGGTGAAGATTATCACCCAGAATTGTAAGAGCAGTCGTCCCAATTTTGACTGTTCGGTCAGGATGCGAGTCGTCCAAGACGACATATGTATGCTCACCAGCCGGCTGAGGGCAGAACTCGTTTGACCGCTCCTCTACTAGTGATTGCTATCGTTTTTCTTTTTTCTCGGCCCCCAATTTGGCAGCCTTTCTTTTCTTGCCGCCTGCAGCAGGCGCATTCTCCTTGATTTGTTCGAGGTCATTGTTCTCTGCACTTGGGCCAGCAGCCACTACAGTGGGTTTGATGTCCAAGAGGTAACATTCTCAGGCCATCTTCTGATCTCCCCATAGGAAGCCGACTGTTCCATCATCCTTCTCAAATTTGAGCAGCATAAAAGATGGGATGATGACAGCTTTAGAGTTGTTCAGGGTGGGTCGCCCCAAGATCATGTTGTAGGCCGACGGTTCTTCAATAACTAAGAACCTGACCACCATGTGACGGTCCTCCCCTTTCTCACCCAGGCGGATGGGTAAATCCACCCGTCCCACTAGGTGTACAACACTTCCTCCAAACCCTACTAAAGGGTGAGATACCGGATGTATGCAGTCAAGTTTGTACTTGAGCTTTTCCAAGCACTTGTTGTTGATGAGATCAGAGGAACTGGCGGTATTTATGAGGATCCGGCCAACCCTTTGGTTGGCCACTTTACATTCAATGACAATGGGGTCGTCATGCGACCCCCTTACACCTTCCAGATCTTCTTCGGTGATGACGATTTCTGGGAATGTACTCTTGGTGGTCCGTCCTTGATTGACAGAATTAACATCCAACCTCATGATGTTATCTTTGTTGCCCCTTATTGTGGGGCCGCCTCCTGCGAAGCCGCCTGCTATGGTATAGACTACTGCGTCATCAGTATCTGAACTGTCGGCCGTCCGGTGATTCTTCTTGGCCGACTGCTTTTGTTTAGGGGGACCCTTCCCCTTGGACTTCTTGACATAGGAGTCAAGATCACCTTTTTCAGCCAAGCAGTCCAGGAAGCGCATGAGACTTATACATTCATTAGTTTCATGTCCAATGTCTTCATGGAAATTATAGAATTTCTTTTGGTTCCGATTACTCGCAGAACCTTTCATGAGGGCCGGCTTCTCAATGGTCATCCGGCCCTGGATTTCTTTGAGGATAGCTTGGCTATCCTTATTGAACTCATACTTCGGGGAGTATGGCTTAAACTCTTTTTTCTTTTTCTGAGACGGCTGATCAGAGGAGTCGGCCGCCCAGACTTTTTTTCTCTTCTTCTCATCTTTATTGGCCGACTGCTTTGGTCGGCTCTCTTTTTTATCAAACCTTCTTCCATCCGTCTGCTTCCCAGTATTACACATATCAGTCGCCTGTATGTAGGCTTCCGCCTCAATTAATGCTTCTTGAAGAGTAGCGACTATCTTTCGAACCAGGTCAAACTTGAAGGTCGACCCATCCTTAAGTCCTCTGAAGAAGTTAGTGTAGGCTACCTCATCTGGCAGCCCTTGTATCTAAATTCTGATCAGGTTAAACCACCTGATGTAGGAACGAAGTCCCTCCTTTTCCCCCTGCTGTATAGTCCCTAGATCAAGGGTCGTCTTCTTAGCAGGAATATAAATGGCGAAGTTGGAGGTGAACAAGTAGGCGAGGGTCTTGAAATTATTCACACAACTAGTCGGCAGGTTGCCAAACCACTGTTGGCCGGCACCATGTGGAATCATCCAATCCTTGGAGATACATAAGATTGGTGAACGCCATCAGATGGTCCTCTGGATTAGTAGTGCTGTTATAGGAGCCTACTAACACATTCTTCACTTTGGCCGGGTGGGCGGCCTCTATAATTTCCTTAGAGAAAGCGGACGGTTGTTCTCCAAGTCTTAGCAACCGTAGTTGCCAGTCCAAAGGTTGGACGTTTCTTGCCGCCTGTCCTCCAAATAGAGGAGGCTGCAAGAAATATTATTGTTGCGGGACGTATGGCTGGTATGGCACATGCGGAGCCGACTAATTTTTATAGGATCCAGACCGACGGGAGGTGCCGCCTGTCTAACTCCCATAATTTGATTGTGAATACCTCATGGAGGTATTGTGGAGACTGTCTTGAAAATCGGAAGTAGAGGCCGACTTTGACAGTCAGTCACTCTTCTTCTGCTCTAGCATCAATCGAGCATCAAAGTACATTTTCTTCATCCTATCCGCTTGAATATGGAGGATAGGCTTCCTCTTCCCAGGTGAAGGAAAGCGGAACTTCGTCCAATCAACTACTGGTTGTCGACTAGTCCCAAGCTTTGGGTGAGGGGTCGCCGCACGTCTTGAACAGACTTCATCCTTCCAGAGTGGGAGGACTTTCTAGCCGATTGTTCCTTTGCAGGAACAGGCGTTCTCTTCTTAATCAACTCTTGGATCTCTCCTTTAAATCCCCTCATGAAGGTCATGAGTTCGTTCCTTGTAATGGGAGTAGATCCCTCAGCCGCCTGTTGTTGCTCAGGTGGTGGGCCGGCTGGATTGCTAGGACCAGCTTGGTAATCTACCCACTCCCTCCTGTCGATGGGACGCGTGCGTCGGGCCCTTAGGGACCCGTCTAAGGCCGTGTGTGTTTCTACCTCGACCTCATCATCAGTATCTTTGTCTGAATAGACCTGAGGGTCGTCCACTAAACGCCTCTCTTCTAGATTTGGTAAAGACTGTGATTCCATCTCGAAAGTACTCTCCCCAAAGACGGCGCCAAAATGTTTCGGGGTTTTTTGATGTCCTGCGGGAGAGTTACAATTCCGGGACTGGTCTCCTTGCGCCTGTACCTGCAAAACAACGGAGACTCCTTGTGGAGGGAGTTACGCCTCCGACGGTCAAGTTAGTACTTGTTTGAGGAGTAATAAATGCGGAAAAGTAAAGGTTGGGAGATCTGGTTCCTCTAGGGGAGGGGTGATCAATGTGTTTAGGTTCTCTAGGTGAGAGTAATTGATTGCTGAATCCCACTTTAATGAGGATTAATGAAGGTATTTATATACCTTGGGATGCGTGCCAGTCCTCGGTTTAGGTCAACCTAGGGCTGATTGGGCTTCCACATGACTTTGGGCCTAAGTGGCCGGTTTTCCCATCAGGCATGGGGGGAGGCCACGTGTCATGGCATAAGAGGTCCAAGGTGGACTGGTCAACACTTGACACGTGGCAGGCACCAATTGGTCCATGTGGCAGACACTTAGCAGAGCCTGAATGGTCCACTTGTCAGATGATGATTGGTTGGGAAAAATCCCCTACCAAGTATTATACTCGACTACTTTTTCAATTATTTGTTTTTAAGTTTTTAGTTTTCAATTTTTTTATTTTTTTATTTTTTGCAATTAAAATTTTAATGTTATACTTTAGTTTGAGCACTAAAAAATAAATTGATAATTTTAGGCAACAAGACGTTATCAAAGTCAATAAACTACTTAGTTAAAAGTATAAAGCAAGTTTTGCCTTCGGTATGTCGTTCTTTATTTCTCTATTAATATTTATCAATTGACAAGTTATTTTTTCACTTTTGATTTATACTTGTGATTTGTGAATTGTAATGCATTGATAATAAACAAATTAGTCACTAATGAATGTACGATTAAAGTTAGTTTCTTGTTTTCATTCATATATATTATATCTTTTATTTGGTTGCTACTTGTTAGAATTAAAGAATTAATTAAAACGTAACAGCTTTTTTCAAGAAACATATAGGATGTTTATAAAATAAATTTAACTTATAATTAATTTCAGGTAAACAAATTAAATATGAACAAACAAAAATCTATTGCCTCCTTTTTCAAACGAAAAGAGCCAGAAAATGACACACCACCCGACGAAAATAATCCAGTTAATGAAGATACTTCTACCCGGACACATAATCATGAAGAAGGTCCATCAATCATTGATAATGACAATGTGGATATCAAATCTTTAGAATGTGATCCAGGGTTACGTCCTCTAATATGAGCTTATCCAGTTGAAAAATGAAATGAAATACGACGTGCTTATATTAAAATGGGGCCTTATCAACCTCAATTGACAGAATATCACTTTTTAAGGCCTACAAAGCATTGTCACCGATTTCAATCTACGTGGTTTGCTAAGTTCCCAGATTGGTTGGAATATTCACCTTCTAAAGATGTTACATTTTAATTTGTCTACCTTGTTATATGTTTACTGAAACACCAAATTCTCGATTTAAAACATTTACTTTGACTGGATTCAAAAATTGGAAAAAAGTCAATGACGGGAATCGTTCGTTGTGGGTTCCTTGCTCATATTAGAGAAGGTCCATGTACAACTCATCAAAATGCGGTTCAATTATACAGGATTCTTCTAAGCTAAAAGGAAAGATTTGTAATGTTTTTTTACAAGCAAAATGAAATGCAAATCAAGCAAAATCGATTGCGTTTAAAGGCCTCTATTGATGTCATCTGCTTGTTAACTTCACAATCTTGTCCTTTAAGAGGCCATAATGAAACAAATAATTCAGAGAATCAAGGAAACTATCTTGAATTTAGAAAGGTGTTGGCTGCATATAATAAAGATGTTTCTAAAGTTATACAACAAGCTCCTTATAATGCCAAATATACTACTCCCTCGATTCAAAAAGAGATTCTCCATATTATTTCAAATAAGGTTCGCAACTATATTAGGCAAGAAATTGGTAACTCTAAATTCTTTATTATTGTTGATGAGGCTCAAGATGAATCTAAAACAGAGCAACTGGATCATGTTTTAAGGTTTGTTTACAAATATGAAACAATTAGGGAGCGATTTTTTTTTACCTTAATTATACGAGTTTTTGATACCACGGCAGCAACACTTAAAAGAGAATTGTGTTCAGTTCTTGCTCGACATAATTTATCTGTTGAAAATAGTCAAGGGCAAGGATATGATGGTTCTAGTAACATGAGAGGTGAGTGGAATGGTTTGCAAGCATTATTTCTTTCTGATTGTCCATATGCTTATCATGTCCATTGTTTTGCTCATTGCTTACAATTAGCATTGGTTGCCGCATCTAGAGATGTTAGAATAATACATCAGTTTTTTTCAAATTTGACTTTCATCATCAATTTCATTGTTTCATCTCCTAAATGTGTTGACCAATTGCAATCCGTCAAATCTGATGAATTTAAAAGGCTATTATCTATTGGTGAAATAGACAGTGGTAGAGGAGCTAATCAGATGAGTTCTTTAAAAAGAGCTGGAGATACACGTTGGGGTTCACATCTTTACTCTATTCGTAGCTTGATGAAAATAATTGATGCAACAATGTTAGTACTTGAACACATCACGAATGATAAGTCTTGTAATTCTTCTCAACGTGGGGATGTTGATGTTGCTTTAGATCTAATGATTTCCATTGATTTTGTGTTCATTGCCCGTTTAATGGAAGAAATTTTGGGAATTGCTAATGTTCTATGTCAATCCTTACAACAAAAATCCTAAGATATTGTGAATGCTGTGAAATTAGTCTCTACAAATCATGAACTAATTCAGGATATGAGAGAAAATGGATGGGAAATTTTTTTAGATTCGGTGGTATTGTTTTGTCAGCAACATAATATTTTGATATCTGATATGAATTCTCCTTATATAGCTCATAGGAATTGAGCTCGTCATCAACAAGATCAAGTTACAATGAATCATTTTTATCAAGTTGAAATATTTTTGGGTGCAATTGATAAACAATTACAAGAGCTAAATCGCAGATTTAATGATGACGCTTTAGAGCTCTTAAATTTATCATCTTTGTTAGAGCCTAAAGATAGATTTAAAAATTTTGATCTTGATAAGGTTTGCTTGCTTGCAGAAAAATACTACCCCATGGATTTTACGGAGCAAGAAAGGTACAATTTGAGGTTTCAATTACAACACTTTTTTTGTGAAGCAAAAAATGAGCCTAGTTTAAATCATCATTCTACCTTGGAGGAAGTTTGTGAACACTTGGCACAAATAGGAAAATCAAATGTATACTTTTTGTTTGATAGACTAATACATCTAGTTTTGACCCTTCTTGTCTCAACAGCTACAACTAAAAGGGAATTTTCAGCAATGAAGATCATGAAATCAAGACTGCGTAACAAGATGGAAGATGAGTTTTTGGCCGATAATTTAGTTATTTATATTGAAAGGAAGATTTCTAAGTCTTTTAGTACTAAGTCAATAATTGATGATTTCAAATTATTAAAAGAAAGACGAGTCTTACTTTAATAGTTTGCTAAAAAATTAGATTGTGACATTTGTATGAGAAAGAATTTGATTGTGACACATACATTTTTTAAAAAAAAAATTTGGTAATATTTATTATATTTAGCTATATTCTTATACTCCTTGGTATTTATAAGCTAATCTCACATTGAATTTTTAAATAATTGTTGTATGCTTATGTTATTATATTCTTGTTTTAGACGTACACTTATGCTAGAAATTATTGGCCTCCAAAAGAAAAGGTTTCAAGATCCGCCACTACTGAAAATAGTCAAATTGAGCCTAACCCTGTGATTCAAAAAGTGGTTCCTATTGTTAGTTATAGGCAACACAACAACTTGAACGCTCCCTACTGTTGAGGAGGTGCACACATCATTATTTCAAATACATCCGACGAAAGCTCCCGAGCCCGACGGTATGTGCCATTTTTTTCAAACATTTTGGGACATTGTGGGTTTGGATGTAATTGATAAAGTGCTTAATATATTGAATAATAATGGTGATCTAGGTTCTATTAATCAAACTCATTTAGTTTTAATTCCGAAATAAAAAGAGTGTGAGTCTCCTATTGATTATAGACCTATTAGTTTGTGTAATGTGATGTATAAAATTGTCACCAAAGTACTAGCTAACAGATCAAAGTTAGTACATCCTTTTATTATTCATGAGTCCCTGAGTGGGTTTGCTCCGGGGAGACTGATCACAAATATTGTTCTAGTTGCTTATGAATGCTTTCATTATCCGAGGAAAAAGAAGAAAGGGAAAAAGGCTTTCTAGGTCTCAAACTTAATATGAGCAAGGCACACGATAGAGTAAAATGGGTGTTCTTGGAAAAAATAATGCTAAAGTTAGGTTTGTTGGAGACTTTTGTGGGCTTGATAATGAAATGTGTGAACTCTGCAGAGTTTGATGTTCTAGTGAATGGGCAAACATCGAGATGTTTTAAGCCGAGTAGGGGTCTGAGGCAAGGTGATCCCCTCTCACCTTTCCTGTTCATTATGTGTGCAGAAGGCTTATCGACCCTGACTTGGGATGCTAAAAATAAGAAGCTTGTCCATGGTGTCAAAATCGGTAGGAATGTTAATCCAATTTCCCACTTATTTTTGCGGATGATAGTTTTCTTTTTATGAGGGCGATGGAGGAGGAAGTAGACAATGTGCTTAATATTCTTTCTACTTATGAGGTGGCCTCAAGACAAAAAATGAATATGGACAAGTCGAAAGTGTCTAAGAACGGAAAAATTTACTTCAAATGAAGTTATCTTTTAAGGCTCTACATTGAAGGACATGATAAGTATCTTGGGTTTCCGACCTATACTAGTGACTCGAAGAAACAAGTGTTCCAAAATATTCGGGATCGTGCCTGGAAAAATTTAAGGGGTGGAAAGAGAAATTTTTGTCTCAAGCGAGTATAGAAGTATTGATAAAGTCAATCGCACAAGCAATTCCAACTTATGCAATGCAATGTTTCTTTATTCCGGCTAGCATCCTGAGTGACATTGAAAAGTTGTATCGTCAATTCTTTTGGGGGAAAAAGGGTGAGGAGAGAAGGATGTGTTGAATTGTGTGGGGAAAGATATACACTCCTAAGAAAAAAGGAGGCTTGGCTTTAGAAACATGAAGAATTTCAATAAGGCTTTTCTTACTAAACAAGCGTGGCGAATCTTGAAAACTCTCTAGTGGCGAGGGTTCTAAAAGGGAAGTATTTTCCCCATTCGAATTTACTTGATGCTAAAGTGTGTTCAAATTCGAGTTATACTTGGAGATCGATCATAGGGGCTCGTGATTTTCTTGTGAAAGGTGTTAGAAAATCTGTGGGAAGTGGTTCAACCATTCACATTTGGAATGACCGGTGGGTTCCCAACCTCCCTACATTTAAAGTGTTTTCGAGACAAAGTTCGGATGATGGGGAGCCAACTCTTGTTTGAGATATTTGGTTGAACAATTCTTGGAATACTCAGGTTCCAGTTGACACATTCTCTTCGGCCGAGGTTAATGAAATCTGTAGACTACCTATCCCTCTCTATAATAGGATGGATGCTTGGGTGTGACATTTTACCAAGGACGGGCGCTACTCGGTGAGAAGTGCATACAATCTGGTCACTACGGAGCAGAAAAATAATAAGCCTACTACTTCTAAACCGAATTGCAACCTTGATTGGAATGTAGTATGGTATGCTGATGTGCCTCCAGAGACCAAACTTTTTGTGTGGCGTACTATTAAAGGAGCAATAATGGCTCGTTAGTCTTTGGTGCAAAGAGGTATGAACACTTATCTTATTTGTCCTATGTGTGGTGATGAAATTAAAAGTGTTTTGCATATGCTGCTCTTTTGTAAGGACGCAAAACTATTGTGGTATCTTTTTCTACTTCGACTAGAGATGGAGAGATATGAGGGGGGTTCCTTTTGTGATTGGTGTGTTGTTGTTTGAAAGAGCCATAAGGATCAGACATGGTGGAGTGTGTTCTGGAGCTTAATGTGGGGGTTAGGCTTCGTAGAAATGCATGGATTTTCGAGGGGTGGAAGAAGGATGTAACTGAGGTTATCCACAAGGTTGTGAGGCTTGTTGGGGACATCACACAGCTCAAGAATCTCCCTGCTCACTTTCTACTCGACCCTAATTGGATTGAAGATGGAGTTTTCCTTCACAAGGGGTGATAAAAATTAATTCTGATGCTACCATATTCAATTTGATTTGCGTGGGGTTAGGGGGTGTTATGCGTGATGATGTGGGTGATGTTGTTGCCTCAACTTGCCTACGACTTAGGGGTAAGTTCGATGTTGACATTGCCAAAGCTCTTACTATGAGGCACACATTGCTTATTGCTTTGGAGTCGGGATTCAGGAGAGTATGTGTGGAAACGGATTGTCTCAAATTGCACAACCATATTTCAAAAGGGAATGTTCCTTTTACCGAGTTCGGGTTGATTGTTTATGATATTCTCTAGCTTGCTAAAGGCTGCAAGACTTGTTCTTTCTCCTTTGTTAAAGAAAAAAGGAGTGGTAATTGGGTTGCTCATGAACTAGCTAAACTTTGTTCCTCTTTTGATAGTCTTAGAGTTTGGATGGAGGAGGTACCTACTTGTAGGGAATATTTCAACACTCAACTTTGAGCCTCACTGTGGTCATGCATTTAAGCATGGTGGCGTCCAAAGGGAAAGAAGTTAGAGATAAAAGAGTCGCCAACAAGTTTTAGGAACTTGTAAACCGTTCACGGGTGTGAAGGTTACACCCCATTCACGATCACGGAGATCGCTAACTCCATAGTGGTCCGGAACCATGACTGGATATTCGGGGATGATGGTACGAATCCAACCTAAAAAAGATTGAACCCGCCCTAAATCGGCCTCTACTTAATTCTTATGATATTCATGTGTGCTTTCCGATCAACATACATACAACAAATTAATCCTAAGCATATTTAATCTATATTGGTTGATTATTAATGCACAAATAAATCTATTATTGGCGATCACTCGAATTAAAATCATATTAAGCCTAAATCAAATTATTAATTATCTTATTATGCGTGATTTCAAGTACAAATTCCCCTTAAACCTGCAGAAAGGGCGTGATCAAGCAATAACAATAAATCACCATAATCAGGCAACATGATAGTTATAATTGACACAACAAATCATCATAATAACATCATCAAAACATCATTAGCAAGACCCTAGGCATGATGCTAAACGGATAATAACAAACCCTATCATGTCACTAAATAATAAAAATCAAACCTATAGCCTAAACATGATACTAGAAACATGATATTAGAAATATTAAAATAACACCCTAACTTGATACTAGAAATCAAAATCAACATCCTAACATGATACTAGGAATTAAAATAATACTCTAAGCATGATTTCTACACTTAAAGAATAGATATTAGGGAGATCAAATTACTCACTTAAATGTCTCGTATCTCTTTCTATAAAAACAATAAACACGTTAGTAACTTCAAGAAATATAAACCAAACAATTGAAATAGAGATTAGGGACCAAACCCTCAGAAATATCAACCTTTCACGTCGAGGTCGAAGGCAATTACGAGAAGGGCTTAGAGTATTCAAGTCTCGCAAAGGTCGTATGGTGTGTGATGTGTTTAGGCTAAGAAAGAGAAAGAGAAGAAGCTTAAAGCTTAGAGAGGGAGATTAAGATGATGATTGTTGGTTCATGAAAACGAAGGAAAACGACCCTATTTATAGGGAATAAACGAGAGAAAAGATCATAAAAGTCAAAATTCGACTCGGAGTAAAACGCTTTTCATCGCGTAACGATGGTTACATCGCGGTGCGATGCTTATATCGCTGCGCGATATTAGCATCGCTTTGCGATATTTCCATCACTGCGCGATGCTTTTCAGCAGATAAGATCCGTACGGAATCCGACTTCCAATCAAACTAGGTTAGTCGAACAGTCGTACTTATCCTCATTTTATCATAATTAAATCTATTAAAAAACAAGTGTTTTATCCGAAGTAAAATTCTTAAATTTTATCGTTTCAAAAACAGGATAAATTAGAACCTTCTAGAGGATTCTAGAAGCTAATAATAACTCCTAAGGGTTTTAGAAATGATGTTAAAGGTTAATGGACCCTCCACATGGTCATTGGGTCATAGGTAAGGCTCGGTTTGGGCCCAGTTTAATATTTTGATCATAACTTCCTCGTTATAACTCGGATTTGGGCTTATAATATATCGTTGGAAAGCTCTTTCAAGCCCCATCCAACTACACATTTATTGGACCCAGATTATGGACCAAAATGAACAGGCTCGGACGTTTTTATAAAGATGACACGAAATGAATGATTTTCAAAGACACAAAATGAATGATTTTGAGTTTAAAGGCGCGAAATAAATGATTTTGGCTAAAAACATTTAAAGAAAGGTTAGAAACGGTCAAGGCTAAAGGGGACTTCACGAGACTCTTCAACTCTTCACCTAACTCAATAATCAAAGACGTGAAAGGTACTCATCACTGGGTTTGGTTTTTGGGGAGACACAATCAGGTGTCTACACTACTGGTATTTTGAACTTTGTAATGGCTGATTTAAGCCCCTTGGGTGATTAATAAAGTTTTGTGCTTGCTTGCTCGTCAAAAAACAAAACCAAAAAAAACAAAACAAAAATAAAAAAGAAAAAAGAAAAACAAAAAAAATGTTGGAAAACATTAAAATCTTTACCAAAATAAACCGTTTGCAATAATCCATCGGCGAAAATATTCAAGCCCATTTATGAAATGAACATCATGTACCCTAGGGGGCGGAGCCACGTTAAAACAAGAGGGGACAACTGTCCCCCCATTTTCAATTTTTTTTTTTATTTTTTTTATTTTTTTTTGGGTTTAAAACAATACGGTTTATAGTTATAAATATTTTACACATGCAATTAATGTTAGAAATATGACTATGGTCTGGCGGTTGAGTTAGGATTAAAGTTTACCTTGGAATCTTGGTTTGAATCTTATGTCTAGCGTTTTACTATTTGTTTTTCTGTTGGATTGCTCTTTTTTTTTCTCTATTGGATTACTCAAAGTTCAACAAGTGTTTTTTTTTCCTCTCTCCTATTTCTTGTTTTTGGATTTTTTTTTCATTTCTTGTTGTTGGATTTCATTAAAACTTCGTACTACTTTGTTGATAGTGATTACGTTTCGAATGAGTTACTTCATACAAATACATATCTCCATTAATTAAATATATGTCACTAAATTTTAAATATTATTTATATATGGAGTGCATTTGTAATAATTGATTGATTACAAAATGTTGCGTTTAGTTTTTTCAAATGTCATTCCAAACTCCTTCATATTTATCATCAAATTGTTTAAAGACTAATTATTTGACTTTATGATAAGGCAATTGATTTGTATTTATCAATTATTGGATTACATAACTTGTAATTGGGGTTTACATCAAACATTTATTCATTTTTTGGATACTTTTTTTAATATACGATAAAACATTTTTACTCCTCTTTTGCCATATAGGAATCAGTCAAATGCGATTTCAAATAAAAATTAAACAATTTGGGTGATCAGTTTTTTTTTTTTTTTTTGAGATTTTTGTCATAACATTAAACCTCCTAAAATTGTCCCCTCAGATTAGAAATTCTGGCTCCGCCATTGGTGTATCCGGATGTATAGCAAAGTAAACAAGGTCGGCTATTGGGCTGTGCAAACAGCCCAACAACACAGGGCCCCAAATTTCTTGGGCCCTATAATCTGGAATTTAAGTTTAGGATGAAACTAAATTTGAGTGAGGCTGTATGTCTTAAGTATAAGATGACTGAGTTGGTGGTAAATTCACAAACATTAGAGCCTTGTTGAGTTGCCCCCTTTGGGGGATTGGATTCGAAACTCCTTCCCAACACAAATACTTCATAATAATAACTCCGTTTTTTTATTAGCTAACACGTTTTGACTTTAGCTAAGGATGGCAATTTAATCCGAGTTCGATTCGAATCCGACCCAATCCGAAGAAAAAACATCCAATCCAAATCTGTTTAAAATTAGTCCGAATCCGAATCTGAATCCGATAAATAGATCTGAATCCGAATAGGAGGTGGATCGGACTTGGACCCTGCACAAAGTCCGACCGAGTCCGATTCGATCCGAGTCCAAGTATGAGGATATGCTTGTTTGTAGCAAATTTTTATTATAGAACTTAATTAATAAATAAATTATGTTATTTTTAGACTTTATACCCTATGTTTTTTCTAATTTTTTCCGCACCAATATGATATAAGAAATAATGTTTATTGGGGACAATATAAGCAATTATAGGTATATCATACATTAAAAAAAATATTCAGATCATTTCGGAGGTCCAAATAAACGGACCGAATTCAGATCCAAAAATTACGAGTCGTATCGGACTCGAACTCGGATTTTTCGGATTTGGATTCGGATTCGGATCCGAGTCTAGGATCATTTACTAAACGGATCAGATTCGGATTTAGCCGCATCCAACCCGAATCCGATCTGTCGTCATTCCTAACTTTAGCACTATTCACACACTTCCCTTTGACTGTGTTTTGTGATTTATATATAATGAAAAGTATAGTGATGTGAGATCTTGTTAGAATTGTCACAATATATATTTTCTAAATATCAATTTTTTATAACTTTTGCTTATCGAATATTAAAGATATTATTGGTTAAATTTGTGTATTTGCAAACGCGACTAAGAGCATCTACATTGGTGGGAAAATAGGCTTTTCATTTGCCAAAAAAATGGAAATGGGGACCTTCCCACCAATGTTACTCCTTTCCCTTTTGATTATTATTTTTGGGGAGGTTAATTTGGTGGGAAGCCTCCCAAAAATTCAAGTGGGTCCAATTTGCACACTTGGACACCAAAATACTTGGTGGGGTATGGAAAGTATGAGGGAGAAAAGGTGGTGAGGTATGAAAAAATAGGAGAGAGAAAGTAAATTGAGGGGTAATGAATGTAGGTATGGAATAGTAAAATGGGAACAGTATGTGATAAAGTTAGTGGGAAGTGATAGGGAACTAATGAGGTGGGGAGAGAGAAATTATGGAGAGCCCCATGAATATTGATACTCTAAGGAAACGTGTCAAGTAAAAAGAAACAAAGATAGTCAGTGGCGGACCCAGGAATTTCCGACTGGAGGGTCACAATCGATAATCAAGTATGTAAAAAAAAAAAAATTACCGAACAACCAAATAATAGTACTAAAAAATACATCCAAATATTCAAACAGTACAAAATACAACCAAATGTTCATATAATACTACAAAAGACAACTAAATAGTAATGCAAACTTATTACAATAGTTCTCGACGAGTTTTCATGTTTTGATATCGATTCATGATATCTTCCATGCTAACATTCAAAAACAAATCATTCTCCAAATAAGGCTATTTGTTCACTTTCTTGAGGTGGAGTTATAGTTTGTTCATTTTGTGTTGGATGTGGAAGAGAAGTTGGAGTAGGATTCTTTTTAGCAAAGAAGCTAGTAATGTTTTGCATTTCATTTGGAGTACGTTTTCTCTTCATTCTGAAATTTGAATAAATATTGAACTAAATCAAGCAATATTCCCCAGAAAAATTATTTGAATAAATATTCAACTAAATCAAGCAATTTCACATAATGACATAATCACATAAACATATTACACAAAACACAATTACACAAAACAGATTTCACATAAGTTCAAGAGACAAGTAATGCAAATTTGATCAAAAATTCACAAAAAAAAAAAGGAATCAATTGATGAAATTAGAAATCAACTTACTCATTCCCTTAGAAAACCAAGAGGTTGCCAACCTGGCCTTGGGCGAGACTACGTTTTCCTTTGATGCTCATTCCCTTTAGTGGACTCAAGCATTAATTATTTTGACACTTCTAAGCACTCGAATTTGTTATCCTTGCCGGGAACTCCAGCATAATAGCCTTATTTGCACATTCATCATTGCAATCTTGTTTTGTGCTGTGTTTACAGCCAACTCCAACACTTCAGTGATTGACAGGATAGAGTAAAGTTAGCAAAAATTCGAAATCGGCTACAATATTAAAGCTCAATTTAGACACTAAATTAGGCCAAATTTTTAGGTTACAAAGAAAATAAAAAAATACAAGCAAAAAGTCATATTAAACAAAAAAAAATCCAACAAGAAAGTATGAGAATAAACCTAGAATGAAATAAATGGCCAAAGAAATTAGCGAAGCAGAACAAGATAGATTAGAAATGAACACAAATTTCAACCGAAATTATTATAATAGGTGAGAAGAAAAACTTTCAATCAGGGTAGAATGAATTTCTATCAGATGCTAGCACCATTAGGATGGTTGAAAGGCAAAAGCAAAGCAGTCCAATTGATTTGATATTCAATAATAAAAAATAAAAAAAATAAATAAACAAATAGAGCAAAAAAAGAAATTGAAGTGAAAATCAGAAACTACTTCGATGGAGGAGATAAAGCACAGTAGGCGCTTCAATGGAGAACTAGCGAGTAGCGATTTCGAAATGCGATTATGCGACTATGCGAGAAGCCACGAAGAGGACGGAGTCCACGACCACCGACGGACCGACCACCAGGCGAAGAGAACGGTGGCTGCCTGGCTGGGACGAAGCGAAGAGGCGAACTGAAGAATGGAGATGAGGCGAAGTCGCGAAGAGAAGAAGGCTAGGGTTTGATTGTTTGAAGAAGACAGAAACTCGGGATTTCGAAAGCAAATGTCAGTTTTTTTTTTTTTTTTTTCAAAAAATAACTTAAAATTTTTTTTTGGGCCTGGTGAGTCACTTGACCCACCAGGTCTAAGCCCAAGTCCGCCACTGAAGATAATATTTATTTATGAATTTTGTACTACAAACACAAATTATTTGAGATTAAAAACAAATATACATATATATTATAAATGTAAGAGATTTTTATTTAAATTAACATAGGGCCTGTTTAAGACGACCCTAAAACTAAAGAACTTTAATTTAAACTGAGCCTAGAGCCGGAGATAGTAACTTCAATTTCCGTTCTCCCGCTGTCTCCAGTATTTTTATGCTCGGTAGTTGGTACATATGCTCAGGAGTCTTTCACTATACAAAATGCTCCATGAACTTTAATTTACAATTTTTATTCTAATAAATTTCTTCTTCCTTCTTTGAATTTGTTCTAAAATTTAAGCTGAAATCCTCCCAGTTTTCGCCGAGCTCAATCAGGTAGTTGTTGTTTCTCAACTGGAAAAATGTCCAGGCAAAAATTATCCAGTGTCTTCAAAAATCAAGTCCATAATCTAAAATCTAATCAAGAAATTGCTAAACATATTTCCCAATCTTTAATCTCCTCGAACTTCACAAACTTCCAGAAATCACCTATTTTTGGCAACGTCAATTCACAGATAACTCAAATTGTTCTTTCAGACCCACTTGTCCCTGTTACTTCTTGCTTAAGATTCTTTGATTTTCTGCGGAATTCGCCTTCTTCATCTTCCCAGAAACCTGATCTTCGGGCCTACATTACCCTCATTTTTAGATTGTTAGATGCTCGAAAATTCGCTGTTGCGAAAAATCTGTTGAATTCTGTGTCTGTTGATCATAATCTTCGATGCCCAGTTTCAGATATGGTGTCTATTGTGGAAGAATGTGCTAGTAAGAGTGAGAAATTGGGTAAATGTTTTGATCTTTTGATGAGGGTTCATGCGGATAATCAGCAGTTTGATGATGCCTTTAAGGTGTTTGATTATATGACTGAGAGAGGGTTTGAAATTGAGGAGAGGAGTTGTATGGTTTTCTTGGTTTCTCTTAAGAAATCTGGGGAATTTGAGTCATTGATCAGGTTTTTTACTAAGATGGTTGATTCTGGTGTTAAAATAACTGTGTATTCGATGTCGCTTGTGATCGATTGTCTATGTAAGAGAGGAGAGATTGATAAGGCTAAGCAGTTGATAGATGAAATGGGTAGGAGAGGAATAGAGCAGAATTCGTATCCGTATAATTCGTTGATAGTTTATTTTATAAGGAAACAAGATTTTCGGGAAGTTGATGAAGTGATTAGGCTAATGGAGAAGGTGAATGTGGAGCCTAATGTAGCTACCTATACACTTGTGATCGATGGATACGTGAATAATGGGAAGATTGAAGAAGCAGAAAAGATGTACCAGAAAATGTGTGAACGATGTGTGAAGGCAGATATGCATTTATATACGGTGATGATCAATTTGTGTTGTAGGAAACAAGACATGAAGAAGGCTTGCCATCTTTTCGATGAAATGATAGAGAAAAGCCTTTGCCCGAATACTCACACTTACGGTGCTATGGTACATGGGTTATGTAAGGCAGGGCAGTTGGACGCTGCAGAGATGCTTGTGAAGGAGATGCAAACTAAAGGACTTGAGATGAATCGTGTGATTTTTAATACTTTGTTAGATGGTTATTGCAGAAAGGGAAGAATGGATGAAGCATTGCGGCTGAAGGATTCCATGGAGACAAAAGGATTAATGCCCGATGCATACATGTATAACATTATGGCAAGTGGGTTGCACAAGTTGAATCGAAATGAGGAAGCAAAGACATTCCTGTACTCGATGTTAGAGAAAGGGTTGTCACTGAATACTATCAATTATACTACTTTGATCGATATACATTGTAAGGAAGGTAAATTTGCCGAAGCCAGGAGGCTCTTTAAAGAGATGGAGAGAAAGGGGGAAGGCCCTAATGTTGTCACATATAATGCTTTGATTGATGGATACTGTAAGAAAGGTACGATGAAGGAGGCTCATGAACTCAAAAATGAGATGGAGGAAAGGGGAGTAACGCCTGATGTCTACTCGTACACGTCAATAATACATGGTGAATGTATAAATGGAAAGATGGATTATGCACTGGAATTGTTCAATGAAATGTCTAGTAGGGAGTTAGTTCCAAATGTAGTTACTTATACAGCAGTGATTGCAGGCTTGTCGAAGGCCGGAAAATCAGATGAAGCTTTCAAATTGTATGATCAAATGATAGAAGCAGGCCTTACTCCAGACAGTACAGTATATACTTCACTCGTGGGAAGCCTTCATTCAAGCTGAGGCCTAGGTCAAATTTTTACTGAACTTGGAAATTTTGGTAGGAGTCAAACTCATTTTGTTGTGACTTTAGGACTTTAACTTTTTCAATTGTATTAGTACACCCTCTCCCTATAATGAAAAATGTGTCATTTGTATTCTTGTTATATCTCTCTTACAATTGTTATATTACTTCTCCTAGTCCAACCTTGTCAATGAAACAAGTTTGGGGGATGTATTCAAACCATCAAAACTTTTACTAACATTTTCATAGTACATAAGCCAATTTTCTGCTCACGTTCTTAGCCATAGAGATTGCAAGAAAAAAGAGTGAGCTGATCTGAAGTAGTATTAGTAATAGAGGGTTGATTTTTACTTTTGTGTTACAATTTTCAACACTAACCCGACCCGTTTAACTAGTGGTGTCGTGTCATCGAAAACCCTCAACACTAACTAGCTATTTCGTATCGGGTTCGTGTCGTGTCAACTTTTGTCAGCTCTAGTCTTTACGAAAAGGTTGTGCTTAGAACAGAATCAAATGTCAAGGCAGCTACTCAGCTAGTGTAAGTTGGGTGAATATCAAAATTGGTTGTGATAAAACTTTCTACTTTAAGAAAGTTGCAGCCTCGAACATAAATGGATTTTACCATTTGTTATCCTAGAGGGGTGGGATAATACCCTTTCTGTCAACCAATTCTTTGATCAGCCTCAAGCATCACAAACTAAAAGATGGCTTCATGCATTAAAAATTTACGCGACAATAAATTGAGGTGTATATAGAACACTACAATAGGAAGGGGAAAGGGAACAAGATGAAGACATATAATATGTAAAATTCCAGTAATGTTAAGACAGAAATAAGAATGATTATTAGCTACGAAATATATACAATCCATGAGAAAGAATTAGATACAGAGCTTCCATTTAATTTACAGGAAGACCCATTTACCAAAAGTGGGTAATAATATAAACAGCAGATTTGAACCATGACTTATTATATCTAATTTACATGAAAACTAACAAGTGAAACAATTGATACGGGAATGGAATGCATATTGATTTACACGAGTAGATCAGTATACTCCAATAAGCCATGGCTGTTGAGTGATTCCTTAAGCTTGTGCAAAGCTCGACTTTCTATTTGGCGTACCCTTTCCTTAGACAAACCAAACATGGCTCCTATTTCTGATAATGAGTTCCGTTTTTCAGATGCAGATCCTATGCCAAACCTCAGTTTGATTATTTGTCTTTCTCTGGGAGCCAGCGTACAGAGCAGGTTGCGTATATGTTTCCTCATCAATTGTTTTTCCGCACATACATCAGGCTTTTCAATCTCAGTATCTGCAGTGATCTCCTGCAAAAAATATTAAAAAAAAATATGTCCAGCGGATGAGAGAAATAATAAGGCTAATGATCTAAGTGACCAACAAATGCAGCAGAAGCATATATACTAACAAAATGAAAACACTTTGACAATCCAATTCAGATGCTAGACTACATACATACATACTCCCTCATCCAAAATGAAAGTCACATTCGAATATAGAAAATTTGGAAATAAAGGCCATCACATAAATTTTTTTTTTTTTTTCTAAATACCCTTCCTAAGGTTGAAACATGATGAGGGTATGGGGACAGTCCACTACCATAAATGTTTAGTAAGGTGTCATATACTCTTCCAAGTTGTATGAGAACTATACTGTTCACAAGTGAGGTTGACTGGATACATTCAATGGTTTGATCATAATAAGGAGCTACAGCCGCAATGGGCAGCCTTGACATTACTATAAATGGAGATGTATAATGATGTAAGTGATTGTTAGAGGATGCTCCTGCAGAACTGACAATGTGATTTGAACGAGGGGACTGCAAAGAACACCATCTCTAGCAAAGGGAGAATGATTAGTTAGTACTACCTCTGTTTTTTTAAATGTTACATTTTGATCGGCACATTGATTACGTATTGATTGATTTATTATAAAAAAAAAGTGTAAAGAGGGAGTAAGAGAATTATTTAAGCTTTTGCAGAATATCAATTATTGATTCCTACAAACGCACATGTCATCTTTCTTAGTTGGTAAAGTCATTGGGAGATGGAAAACAGGACCTCAGATTGATACTTGTCTACATCATCATCCATTGCTACCATTTATGGCTCCTTACGAAACTACTCTTATGGACAAGCAGGATAACCACATTTTTGTGATACAAAAAGCATATGCAAAACTACTCCTAAACATAAAAGAATCACCTGCATGTTGGGCAAACAGACTTACAATACCCTGTGATTAGTCGATGGAAGATTAAAAACGAGAAATCTAGTACTGCATAGTACATTCTGTCCTAAAGCATAATCATTAGCCATGCTTTAGGACAGAATTATTAGTCCAGTCTCCAGCCATCCCTCTTGTTTGTTTCTATGCATCCCAAAGCTTCGTTTATATTTGGAAAATCAAATACTTCCTCCATTTTTTTTAGTTGCATTGCTTTCCTTAAATGGAAGTTTCAAATTAGTTGCAGCACTTTCCTTTTTAACTAATAGATTCTCTCTATCTCTCTCCTATTTATTTTTTCTCTCTACTCCAAAAACTGCCTAGGAGTCCGTGAAAACTAAAGTGATGCAACCAAATAAAAAACGGAGGAAGTAAAATATTTGAAAAAAATTCCAAGGTTTCTCTGTTCATCAGCTTTTCAATATTCATGTTTACTTATCACATAGTTTATCATTAATATTAAATTAAAAAAATATATAGGCTTGAATTCTTGAGAAACACTGTCTATATGTAAAGCACTTGAATTATGTAAAATTTCCCAAAACCAAGAAGACGAACATACTATGTCAATGACCAAGATGGGTTGGATTGAGAAATTCAATTGAATTCTCCCATCAACTCAAAACTTTATAAGCCAATGAAAAATTCAAAGGTCTCAGGTTCAGGCCCCCCTCCAACATTGAATATATTGCATTAACCATTGCGCTTTTATGAACCCAAGAAAAAAAAAAAAAAAAAAAAAAAAAAAAAAAAAACACAAATCAAAACAAAAGAGCCAAGAGAAAACAAATTGTGTAACTGTCATATTAAAAAACAAATTGCACTCATAGCATTTACCGCATCTGAGTTGAGTTCGGTAACATTACCTGAAAAGTGGTATTCTGATCACTCCACACAGGTTGCTGCATTGAAAGTGGATGTCTCATCAAAATTAGCAAATTCTGCAGTTTCTCAACTGTAATTCCTACACGGAATGCCAGCTCTTCTATCGTTGGTTGATGATGCCCTTCTTGGATGAATAACTTTCTTGCTTCTAAGAACTTGGCATGGAGACTGTACATATTTTCCTACAGAAGATTTGCCAATATTCTATGATGCCAATGAGGATGACCTCAACTTGCAACATTTTTTTGCCAGAGAAATCTTCTCATGCTAAAAAAAATTGTTGACACAAATTCTTATATGTTGTCAGCCACACCATTACTTGATGGTGTGCCTGTTGGTCACTTCACATGTACGGCAATCATTTGAGCAATAATGGATGAAGGTTACCCCAATGGAAAAATGGGTTACACTTTAAAACATGTGAATGTATTCTTATAATAATCCCAAAAAGAAAAAAAGAAAAGAAAAAAAAGGAGGAAATAGAGTTTATTTTTTAAAATTAATTGATGACTCACATAATGATTTGGGGTTACTCTTATGGACAAAAAAAGGTTACCCTTATGAATTAATGAACTTACTCATATGAATGTACAAGGTTACTTATTTATAAATAAATGTAGCCACACAAGATTTGCTGATTTGGGAAAAAAAAAAAATTAATATAATAACCCACCAAAAATACAGGAGTTTGAAAGAAAAAAAAAAAAGAAATTCAAAAAACTGAAACTTATTAATGATTCAGCAAGATCATAAATGGAGAGATTACAAAATAATAAAAGGACATCAACTCTTTTGAAGACAATTAAGAGTTCTTACCGGCAGACGGATGGTCTTTGAATGTTGAAATATGGCCTTCCTAATTGCTTGCCTTATCCACCAATATGCATAACTAGGAAATCGGCAACCAGCTTGGGGTTTGAACTTTTCCACACTCTTCATTAGCCCCATACTCCCTTCCTTCAACAGAATCACAACAGAAAAAAAATCTCAGTCTTTGGCTAGGTGATAATCTCATACAGTCATGCTGCCTAATCCGATTGCACGAGTAAAAAACCAAAAATAAAACAATGGAGAATGAGGCATAGACCTTTACAAGCAATAAATTTAACAAGCCAAAAGGGAATGTAATGTTCTTTGGTTTATACAATGGCATATCTAGGATTCTAAAACAGAATATGCACAATAAATATATAAATAAAAATCATATACTTTTACATGAATAAATTAAGGCTATGACCTAATGGTATCAAAAAGGATGAAATTCTATATTAGTCATTTGACAAAGTAAACTTCATTAAGTGATTTTAAATGCAAACAATGCTGAGAAAGTGAGAAGACAAACCTATTCAAGAGAGAACACTCGTAAGGGAAATAGAAAAAATAAATAAAGAGGAAAGAAAGAAAAATGAAAAAAAGGTAGTAGTCAACCTAGCATCTGTAAGGTCAGTAAAGCACTATACGCTTGCCAGCGGTCTAAATAAATTTCAGTGATATTCAGCAGCATCAAAACTTTTAAAATAAGTACAGGGTATTGAAGTGCACACTTGTTGCATGCTAGATCCGCCCATGGTTTACCTGCAATAAGTCCTTAAGACTGAGGCCACGATTCTGATATTGTTTAGCTATATGTACCACCAGACGTAAATTAGCATGAATTAATTTTTCCCGGCTTCTCCTCCCAGAGAGTACCTCTGAATGCAATGCCACAATACTCATACCAACAGCATCAGCCCACTCAGCAAATGTTGGTTCGCGATCAAATTGAGACTCAAGCTTTTGCTTCACATTGACTAGTTTAATGAAGTTCTGAGACAGAAACACACAAAAGTATTATAAGATTATGTTTTTTATTTTTTATTTTTTTTGATAAAATCATTAGTAAAGTTGTACAAGTATCAACAAAACTGTTGGCAATCTACAATGTACCTGTATTTCTGCAATTAAATCATTCTCTTGTTGTATGGTTAGCAACTGCTTTGTCTCTGGACCCCATAAAAATAAACGGAGAGGGTCATTAGGATCATATCCTTCACTTGACCTTTTGGGATCAGCCTTTTTTTCAGGACGACCTATCTCATGAATTACTCTAGGCCTTGAAGACTTCCTTTTCTTATTTCTCCTTTCTAAAAGCCGAGATGACCTAACTGTTTTCGGTGTTACTGTCGGCGTATTACTCTTACTTGACCTGAAATACTGACACATTAGTCTCACACACCTAGTTGACTGAGACACTATATAATATTATATTCAGAAGGAAAGGGAGAAATTCAATACTTGAAGTCAATATCAGGAAGACAATGCAGGGAGTGAAAGCCAGTCATATTATCCCTCAAAAAATGCTTGCTTTTGAATGCAGTCAATGAATTAAGAATTTATAAGAAGTTGACTTCCCCTGAACTACTCACTTTTCTTCATTGTGCTATTCCATAAGTCCAATAAATTTAATGAAAAATGCTAAAAAAATTCACCTAGAAGAAAAGGATCCATCTGTCTCAGCATCAAGTGCATCAGAGCTCTCAGCTAATGCCAGTGCTAATTTTGAGGCTAAAAGAGCTTCCTCAGCAAGTGAAATCACGTCACATGATTTCAGATCCTTATGCTTACCAACAGCTTTTGAGGTTGGATGTTCCTCACTTATAGGGGACGTAAACCTGCAATAGAAACAAGAGATTGACTTAAATCAAGGAATGAAATTCTTAGAACAAAGAATCAAGGAATGAAAACATGTAAAATCTGTTTTTATAATAACAGAAGATGTATCTAAAAGGACCTTACAAGAACGATGAGCCAGACCAATGGCAAAGCTGATGTTCAAGTTCCTCCTGGTGTTGAAGAGAAGTCCCTATTTGTTGTTGGATATATGCAGCATGTTCAATCTTCTTACCCTCCAAGGTGGACAGTAACTGCAGAAGAATGTAATCAAGTAATTTGTTAAACCAATGAGGGGGCGTTTGGTTCGCAAACTGGTATGAGGTTGGAATCAGGAATGAAACCATAGCGGTATGGGTTTGGAACTTGATTCTTAATACCATATGTTTGGTATGATTGCGGAATGCAGTTTTTTTCTTTTATTTGATACCTAAAAGTATGGGAATGAGCCAAACCCACCTCCTCCCCTAGGTTTCTAAATCCCATATTTGGGGGTTTGAGGTATGGGTTTGCAACTCTTAAAATCGTAAAACAAACATAAGGTATGGGTTTAAACCATTCTAAACCCATACCTTATACCAAGTATGTAAACCAAAGTGATTTCATTAAAAAAAACCAGTTAGCAAACTTTAAAAAAAAAAAAAAAAAACTGAATAAATAGGCAAGTAATATGGACCGACAATCATGTGACAAATCCATTCCATGAAACCCAAGCATAGTCACTAACCTGACATGTTTTATCTTCTTTAAGCACAGATGAGGATTGCTTGCACTCATCACGCTGCTCATGTGATAGAACAGAGGCAGAAAATTGTCTCAACAAAGTAGTGGTCGTGGACTGAACAAAAGATGTTTGTTCATTGACCATGGATACTGCGAATTTATGGACACACAATTTGATTGAGGAATAGAAACAGGATATCAGAATTCAGAACATTGAAAAGAGATCATATAGCCTCCAGCAGTTTTATTCTACGGGTAATGTAAGATTACAGATATAAAACCTTTCCTCGTCATAAAAGCTAGTTTTTTCATTAAGTTTTGATTCACAATCACAAATAACCAAAAGAAGATTTCTAGTTCTTCATGATAGAACCCAACCATTTATCATCATTCCATATGTTGGTAAACCTAGCAAGAATAAATAACATAGCAACAAAAACTACAATTGCACCCAAAAGTGAGAGGTCCTAATCCTAGTAAACCCACAATTGGTTTTTTTTTCATCTCAAAATTAACACCCATCATTTGACATGATTTTGTCCACTACTAGCTCCATTTAGTTAAGTAAACGTAAATTGAGATTAACTCGGTCTCTTTCTTACTCTACTTATGTTTTTCTTGCATGGGTCGCGCCCACCTACATTTTTACATTCTCTCACTTCATCCTAATTTATCTTACACTCACTCGCCTTTTTCAACATTTTCTTAAAATGCATATCTACAACTGCAAGTAAAACATAAAAGAACGGAGGTAGTACACCCTCGATTATCTTTATTGTAATCAGCTCTGTGACTCGGTCTTGAGTACTCATAGTTATATCTTGACACTGGTATGTATCGAATGTTATTGTGGTTAGTTATGCTATTTTGTGAAAATTCTCCTTCATTTTTGCCCAAAATGAGTCGTGTCGATCTCACATGAGTGTCAAGGTAAAATGAAGAGTCCAAGTAACATAACTATTGGGGAATTCAATCAAATGAGGCGAAAATCTTTTCACCAAAACAAAAATTACCAAACTTCCAACAAGTGAAAGTTAATTTCCATAAACATGATGATACCACGGAGTACAAATTAAACAATTCATTCCAATAAACATCAAATATTGACTAAATTACAGAACAAAAGTATACAATTTAAAATGCAGAGTAAAGCAAGTTAACTAGTAAATAATCAGATAAGATAGAAGTAGTACCTGAAAGAGAAGAAGAAGCATTGTTTCTGAATTGGGTTCTTGGAGGAAATGAGGAAGATGAAGAGAGCAGATTAATGGTAGTTTCCATGAATTTTTGAGGAGAGAGAAAATGAACACTTTCACTTCAACTTGGTCCCTTCGTTCTAAGCTTTCTTCTCAGGTTTCAGCCTCAAAACCCCATTCTTAAATTGGATGAGGTTTCATAACTTGTGCGCGATTTTTTTAGATTTTTATGATTTTTTTTTTTTTTTTAAAGGAGCTTGTCCTAGTTTCTCAAGATGTGTTTCTCGTAATAGCAACTTTTTTTTAATATTTTATTATTTTTTCTTGCTGAGTCATCTTCTTCCTCCTCCTTTCATTTTCATCATTCGTTTTTCAACCTTTCGAATCATTCATGGAAGACGAGCCCCATCACCATAACCAACCATTCCCGACACCACCAATACCACAACAAACCCCAACCGTAACACCACCATATCCGGCGGCTTTGCCGCCAAATTTAACGAAAAACCCTAAGAAAAATACATAATTTAAGGGTAAAGTTAACCCCAAATGGAAGGTTTTTGCCATTAGTTGAAATTGTTCCCTCCATTATTGAAGAAATATTTGATTTTCATTGTCGTAAACTGCTCAAAGTTCATGATTGAGGAGAGAAGTTGAGAATAGTAGGTATTTTTTTTATCAAAAAGACCAAAATGCCCTTTTGATCTCATGTTGAGAAACTTGTATTTTCTCAAAGAAGAGGGTGTATTTAGTTCACATAATTTAGGTACAAGGTATGGGTTTAAAATGATTTAAAAACTCATACCTTATGTTTATTTCATGATTTTAAATTATATGATTCAAACTCATAGAATACTCTAAACTTTCAAAGTATAAGGTTTAGAAACATAAGGTATTAAGAATCAAGTTTTATTAGCCTTAGAAACATAAGGTATTCAAACATAAGGTGTTTTTACCGGTGGTTTTATGATTTTAAATTATATGATTCAAACTCATAGAATACTCTAAACTTTCAAAGTATAAGGTTTAGAAACATAAGGTATTCAAACATAAGGTGTTTTTTTACCGGTGGTAAGCCCCAAAAAACTTTTTATTTGCTTTCAATAAATGGATCCCATCTCTAAGATGGTGTTTATTCTATTAGGCTTAATATCTTTGTTAGTTCGTTTGCCAAAGATTGAAGATTTAGGGTTTCATAATCTCCGGAAGTATCTAGAAGGCCATATAAGTTTTTTTACCCAAAAAACTATTCATTCGTGGATCTCAAACCGAATTAGTGCTAACTCACAGATTGTATTGCTTTGAATGAAGTTTTTTATTAAGGTGATCGTTGATCGAATATGCGATGTAACTAGTTCTAAGGTGATTTGTATTTGTGTTGGAATTTTAGATTTCCTAGGAATTGTTTGAAGTGTCATTTGGCTATCTTTCATTAATGAACACCACTACGTTTCGATACACTTACGCTTGAAACCTAATACCTTGAGAGACAAGAAAATAGAGAGACAAAGAGAGAGAGGATATTATTAGTTTAAATAGAGGAGAGAATATTATGATTATTACAAAGCATAAACTCAGTTAAAATGTAGAAATTATAGTAGTTATATTAAACGTTAGGCATCCAGTTTGTTACAAAGAAATGATGTAATCATGAGTTAGTTAGCCAGTTGAAACTAACTCTGCTCAACCGGCAAAGTCTTAAAATTAATTAAGGTGGAAAATGTTGAGCATGATCTACATCCGCAATACCCTCTTCCATCGGAAGGATATTGGAATCAACCATTCCTACCTTGGACCTTGAATGGGAGTGGTGATGAGAAGGAAGAGATTTAGTGAGCAAATCAGCAAGCTGCTCTACAGAAACAAGATAAGAATGTTTAAACACCTTTTCTCTAGTAAATGACAATCTAGTTTTACATGTTTTGTTCTATCATTCATGACTGGATTCATCCACGTATGTATAGCAAATTAAATTAGTTATTACAAGAAAGCTTAATTGGCTTAAGATTTTTAACCCCCATTTAGTAAGTAATCTGACAAGCCATGTAACCTATGCTGCTATCACGACCTCGTATTTTTGCTTCTACATAAGACTTAATAATAATTCCTTGCTACTTAGATTTCCAAGAATCAAGAGATTTTCCTAATAACATCACATAACCCGTAACAGATCTTCTAGTTTTAGGATAAGAAGCCAAATATTGAGTCCGAATAAGCTTATAAAGTGGGTTGATCAAGAGTATGAGCAACATGTCTAAGAACATGATGCAAGGCTTGTTGATGGTGTACTCTTCTTGCTACATGAGTTAACTCAATAATTGAACTACATGAGACAAATCTGGTCAAGTATGAGTAAGAAAGTAAAGCTACTACCTGTACAAAGAAGGATCAAAATAAAAATCACCCTGTTCATTCACTAATTTCACATTCTGAAGCAAAGGTGTTTTAGCAACCTTTGACACATCTAGACCAAAATCTTGTATTAGCTCCTTAAAAACTTCTTCTTAGACAGGATAACTCTATGATTCAAATGAGTGACCTCAATTCTTAAGAAATAATGAAGTTAACAATGATCTTTGATGCTGAAAAAAAAATATGTAAGTGATGTTTCAAATCCTGCCATATAGCAGCAACATTTTTGCTTCTCGATACGACATCGGTTCTATTCAAACCCCATTTAACAAAAACCTAAAGATCTCCTCCCCCCCCCCCTTTTAGTCGACATGACCCGCATGTTAAGATGATATCATCAACATATACAAATTGCAATGATTATATCATGTATTTCTTTCTTGATGAACAAAGAATAACTAATCAACCATTGATTAAAACCCTTTATTCTATAACTTAATTTTTTGTATTAGAAACTAGTGTCTAGAAGCTTATTTCAAGCCATAAATAGGTTTTTTAAGCTTGCAAACAAGGTTATGAGGATTAGGCATCCTTTCATGTATTTTTATGTAAATTTTTTTCATGTGAGTATCCATAAGGAAATGCATTATTTATGTCTAATTGATGCAGGACCACCCTTTACTAGCTGCAACAGCCAAAAGACACTTATTGTACCCATTTTCATCATAGGGGAAAAAGTCTCATCAAAATCAATGTCATAAACTTCAGTATACCCTTTAGCCACCAATTTAGCTTTCAACCTTTTTATATATAGGTCACCACCTTCTTTGAGCTAAACTTTAAAAACTCACTTGCAACCTATTACTATGTTTCCTTTAGGCAAAGAACAAAGGTACCAGGTTCCATTCTCCTCCAAAGCTTTAATTCCTTTATGCATTGTATCCACCCAATCTTGATGCTAAAGAGCTTTAATAAAACTTTTAGGTTTACTAATAGATGAATAAAACTGTTAGGTTTAGTAATAAATGAGGTTTGTGTAATCATATCATGAGAAAATCAAATGAAGTTATATCACTATACTAAACGACATTGCACCAGTAATCAGAAACTAAAATAACAGTAGTATAATTAGTGAACAAAAAAGGTGGTTTATGCGGATTGGTTGACTGTTTGACAAGTTGAGGTAAGGGTGAAGAAGAAAAAAGAAGAAGTGATGGGTGTGTTTGTAACACCCTGGAAATTTCCCTCTTTTAAAATACTCACTTTACTCAAAATAAAACCCTTCTTAGGAAATAACAAAAATATTACCGCCACCGTGATAACAGCTAAGGCAAATTTTCAAAGTCACACAGCGGAAGTCAAACAAAAAACAAACTTTTAAAAATAAAACTTGAGTTCACAACCTCAAAACAAATGTAAAATAAAACATTCACAAGTTGGAACCAATTCAAACATGACCCTTCTTAAAAACCAATTAAAAATAAACATAGTATTGTTAGTCCATAAACAATAACCAATAATTCAAAAATATTAAACGAAGAAACATAACAAGTAACTCTCCACACTCTATCCCATCATGCTCTTCATGCTTCAAGTACCTGTTACTTCCCCATTATTCAACCCTCTACTCACCATATAAATGGGTCATGGTAGGGTCAATCCAAAGGAAAGCTAAACACAAACAACAAAGTACGAATCAGCAAAGCTGAGTACATATGCACCACACTAACATGAATATCCTAGCATTAAATAAAATAATTAAAACATGTTCACCATACAATCACAAGTCAACTTACCTTTGACTCATAATTAGCAATATTAATTATTAATAATAATTTTGGGTTACGCATCGAATGGGTTTCCTTCCTTGAAAATAGCCCATTTAAATATTGAGCTTCCAATCAGGGAGCTACCCCAATTGGCACCTACGATGTCACCTTGTGACGGAATTCCAGCGCATTAATAATAAAAGAAAGTACAGCGTCTTGTACCCCTGTAGAAACTATGGTTAAACATAAAATCCCATAACTCCCCCCCATATGTTCATACTTAAGGTATATACGTTCCAAGAGTTTTGGTGGATATCCTCTTACACTTTACGTGATTTACCAATTTAACTTGTGATGACTCAAATCAATCAATCAAGAATAAACATATCAACATTCTACACATACTTCCAATTCATTCTTGAATTAATTAGTGAGCACATAATATTTATTTAATTAAGGTACCTTGCCTAGTTTTGTGCACAAAATTGCACGATTACTATCTTGGTGCATAAGATGCACCACTAAGCTTCCTTGACTCCAACTTAACTTACATGAGTGAGTAAATAAATAAACTCACTTCTTGACTCAACACCAATAATAAATGGGTGAGAAATAAATTCGTGAATCATGCTCAATAATTCTAACTTTAGCTCTTTTAAACATATATAAGCCTTGTTTATTAAATACATGCTTTCTTGATACTTGAAAATAAAACATACTTCCATGATTCATACATATTCAACTCGTATCATGCCTCAAATAACATATTCACATGTTTGCATAACAATTCATGCTCAAACAACATCAATTCCAAGCATATAATCAATCAAACATGCTACTAACTCATCACTTAAATCATACTTTACAATCCTAGCATGATACTACACACACAAATATTCTTGTGCACATATGAACCTTGAAAAACGCCTAAACTCGGCCACACTCGTTAGAAATCACATAGCTCGAAGTTTCCTACAAATAAGAATACATAACTATAATTAATGTACTATTCTCACAAATTTTCAGCAACTATAATACACTTTAAACCTTACTAATTAACCCAATTTAATGACATAAAAGCCATAAAACCTTTTCTTTAAGTGGGTACCTCAAATCCTTTTAAAAAGACTTAGTTTTTATGACTTAAATAAAATTCCAACATACTTATTTAATATAAAACATCACTAATAGACTAGGAAATCCTTATTAAATCATTAAAACCTTTTTCTCTTTTATGGGAAATCAAGCCCTAACTCAATAATTCAAAAGTAGTGTACATATATAAATTCAAACATTAAGTTAAGGGCTTTAAACTCATTAAAAACATGTTTAAACCATTAATTAAACAACAACGTAGGATCAAACCCTAACCATAAACATTAAATTCCTAAATTCTAGGGTTTGCAAATTGGGGTTTTTGATTGAATAAAAATCTGAAAATTATATAAATAATTAACAACATCAAATACCCAAAATAAAGATGACCCAATTCAAAACACTTTTATTGCCTCAACTAATGACTCATA